CCCGGAGGCGGCCTGGGCTCGGTCCGGCAGTGCACTGGCTCCGTTGGTGAGTGGGGCGGCGGTACCAAGGCTTGTGATGCCTTGCGGTACGTGGGGGGCTGTTGTTGTCAGGAGAATGTGAGAGTTGGTGCCCGGTTTCCTTTTCGGAGTGTTGCATTGCGCTTCCATTCTGAAATTTTTTTGCAGACAGGCAAGCCAAGCAGTATCGGTTCTGTTTAGTACCGTGTACAACCTAGTTTTTGAACAGGGCTAACGCTGCGTAATTGGGTTTAAAAGTCCCAAACAATTCACCTGGGAAAGGTGTCATGCTGGTGACATGTTTTTAAATCTTTGTGTGTGTGTGTGTTGATAAAGCCAAGTTTGAAGAAGTGTATCAGATTTCCTAACTTGTTATGATAGTTGTGAATCTTCTTGGGCATACCTGAGTACATGATTTGATCTGCTTTTTAGTCTAAGGATGCTTTTTAAGGTTTAATGTAACTTTCTATCGGTCTTAGATCTTTTAGGTCTAAAATTAGCCTGGAAATGCATGCTGCTCACTATTTCTGTGCTGAAAAGCTGATGTACGTAACTGCCTCCTCCTTCCCCCAGGCATCATGGTGCGCATGAATGTTCTAGCCGATGCTCTCAAAAGCATCAACAATGCAGAGAAACGTGGGAAACGCCAAGTTCTCATTAGGCCGTGCTCCAAAGTAATCGTCCGTTTTTTAACCGTGATGATGAAGCATGGTAAGTCTGGAATGCACAGCGCTGACATGTTTCTTGTTTGTGGTTTCCATGGATGCTGTTGTGTTAAAGTGCTTTTTGACTGAAAGTAAATCAAGATGCTGGAACTAGTTTTGTACAACATAGTTAACTGAGTTGTATTAATGTGACTAAGTATTATATGTTTGATTTGTCTGTTTTGTAATCTTTTGTAGGTTACATTGGTGAGTTTGAGATAATTGACGATCACAGAGCTGGGAAGATTGTTGTCAATCTCACAGGCAGACTCAACAAGGTAGGATTTGTCTTCCTAAATTCAGTTCTCTAGGAAGATGTGTAAATGACACGTTTGTTTTTTTTAAATGTTTGCTCCTGTTCTGAATGAATTTTACCTAAAGAAGGTAGTATTTATTGAATCCATGCAAATGAGAGTAGTATGGGTGCTATCAGTGGTTGTCAGATGCTTGTTAATTTTTGTAGATTCATAATAGTATGGTTGACTAATTATATTTGTGTGAAACGCTGGATATGTAAGACATTTTTAGGGAAGTCTGCTTATGAGTGCAGTGTGTGTTTCTCTCCCTTTAAAGGCTTTCTGGCTACCTAGTTATTTCTCAGTTTCTTTGATGTTTAAGCTGTCTAGAAGACTTGAGAGATAGGAACTCAGTTACTTTCCAGTTGATGTTTAATATCTTTAAATGTTGAGAGGACAAGCCTTTTTGCTGCTGCTGGATGGGCTTTGCTTGCAGTTGAGGGAAAGTTAAATGTTTTGTTTATTAGTTTTTTAAGTTCCTGGATCACATGAAGTGTTCATGTGCTTTCTGGCAATTTTTAAAATGCTTTTGTCTCAAGATACTGAGCGGTCTAGGTCTGTGATGGCTTGTTGTGCATCATTGTTTCCAGTTAAGCTATTCAGTTGGGAAGTGGCTCTTTAGTAGAGAAATATAAGAAAAATGAATTAGTCAAAATACATTGGGGGCTATCTCCATGATGAACAAATATTGCGGCTGAAAGTTGTTTGAGTGTAGTAGGTAGAGACTACCCAAATCAGCAGTGTTATGTGTCTGTAATAAAAATAATGCACGTCAGGTTTGAGTGTAGTGTTCCTTGAACTCTTCCTGGATGATCTCGTAAGAGATATTGCAGGGTGCAGCTGGATATGATATTTCTCTGAATAACTGCACTAAGGGGACCGTTGTTTGGTTTGCTCTTGGATATTAAGATAATTGGAGCCAGTGAGGTAACTGGAGGTGGTAGTAGTGGTCATAGTCAGTAATACAATTAACTTGAAAACTTGATAACTTTTATGCACGTCAGTTTCTCCCTGTTTAAAATCTACAGATTTTTTTGCTAACTATGTATGAGGATTAGGAGTAGTACATCCCTGAGTAATCACTTTTTTTTTGATGATACAGGATGCTTAATAACCTTCAGTGGTTTGTGCTGTCCCAGGTCTAGCCGTTAATTTGTTAGTTTAGCTTCAGCAGCAGTGTAGGTCACTCTGTTTAGGTGAGGAGGAGGAGGCCAGGCTCAGGAAGTAACAGCTGAATAGCTGTGTGAGAGTTTCCGCTCACCTCAGAGGAAGCGCTGTGTCATACTATGGGTAATGGAGCGTGTTTCTTGATACGCTCATCTTTTGCTGCCAAAAATATTTTAATTGCAGCTGTAAAATTCCTTAGTTCGGTGAGTTGGAATGACTGTTGTCCAAATCCAGTTTAGAAAGTTCTTCAGTTTGTGATGGAATTCTCTTTTATAGTGTGGTGTAATCAGTCCCAGATTTGATGTTCAGCTGAAGGATTTGGAAAAGTGGCAGAACAACCTACTGCCTTCACGTCAGTTTGGGTAAGTATGAAGAAGAGTTAAATCCGTGTGGTATGGTTTTTGTTAATTACACTTCCAGGCTGCCTGAGTTAGACTCCCCTAACGCCTTTCCTCTCATCAATCTGGAAGTAGGTACCAGTCTAAAAATCCATCTTCCATACATGCTCTTTTTAACCAGTTTTAAAGGGGCATTGCTGAGCAAGGACCTGTTTTTGCTTGGCTTTGGTAAATCCTGGTTTCACCATTTCTACAGTTTAGCAGGAAGGTAGGATTTTTCTCATACTCATTTTAATGTTAAGGACGATGTCTGGATGGGGAGGAGTCATGTAAGTTATCAGGCCAGTGGAAGTAGGTCATACTATCATATAGACTTCTTGACTGTGTATCAATTGATTAGATATAAAGTGAGGAGAGTCTCAGAAACTCTGTTAAACGAACCTTCACAACACAGAAAATCTTAGTGTTACGCAGTTTGTCATTCCTTCCCAAAATTCCCTGAGACAAGAGTAATAAATCTCAGTGCACCAGGATGAGAGAGCTAGAGGAGTCTACCA